CAGAAGTAAAAAAGTATCTTTATGATGGAATTAACTGAGAGATTAGTACACTGTGTAAGTGAATTTTTCGTTAGAACAAGTTTACCGATGATTGTAGTATCGACGTCAACAGGCAAGTCTTTAACACCATAACTTACCATAGTGTTCCTATCTGCTGTTGCTGCAACTCCTACCATTATACCATGCTTCTGAATGTGTGGCAGCCATCGGATGGCTTCTAGCAAAGCGGATTGTCTTCTATCTCACTCGCCTCGCATGACTCCTTGAAACTATTTTGCATGAGGCCATATGAAAACTGTTTACTTCTGTAACTCGATTTACGAACTTCCCATTTGCGAATTTTCGCTACAAAGGACCGTGTAAATTGGCACTTCTAATTTCAATTTTGCAACGTGTCAGCATTGTTTTCCACTACGAAGAATTGATCCATTCCGATCATGTGAAAAAAATGCAGCGTCAAGATAACTAGAGAAAACACGTAACTGTATAAAGCGAAGTTACTCAAAATATAAAATATTTAAAAAAAAACTATTGAAAAATATGTTAATTACTTGGTGAGGTAAAAAACAGACGGCTGTCGTGTAACTGGTAATTCAAACAGAGTTCAGTCGGGTAAGTACAGTTCATGTTCAAGATGTGTTACTGTCATGCGGTGAAGAACTGGTAAATGAATAATTCAACTGGACACCGAAAGCCTATAAGCTAAGGAGAAGGAAAAATTTGATCAGTTATAAAAACGCGTTATAAGCATTCAGAATTCTTCAGTTAACTGGAAGCAGCTACACAAATCCGCGGCGATGATTCAGTCAGAAACGAGTAATAGAGCTCATCAGGCAACCGGCAAATATCTGAAGCCGTTCCGTGCTCTCAGCCGCAAATAAGTAGCTTCAGTGCAACCTTTCATTGTGTTTTTTTATCCTACGATCTCATCATGCCCTATCAAAAACTCATCATCTTCGGCTGATTCTTAGACATCTGGAAACCTGACGTGAAAGTACCCGGATATGTCAGTCGAGGCGTTTGAAGTTGCTATGGGTTGTTCGCCGACGAAGATGCATATCTGACAGAATTCTCATCAGTGTTAACTGACATCAAAGAACTAACGCATGACCAACCGCAAGTCCTAACTCACAATTGACCGTGTTGGCACTGTGTTTAAGAGGTGTGCTTCGAATTCCATAAGTGCCGGGTTCAGTTCGGCTGGAGGGCAATCTTTGTCTTATTCATGAATTCGCTTGAAAAAGGAATTTGCCATACACTGCTTCATACCGGGGTTGCTCAGTCGCTGGAGTGTTTGAACTCAAAACCAATTGGTCCTGCAATGAAGCAAAAGTCAGGGTCACTCGCATTTCTTCCTTCCAGGGTGATGAATGAGTGCCATTCTATAAGAAGAAAACAGGAGACTACATGCTACGATTGTCACATTGCTGTAAACTCCACCTTTAAAAATGACGCACTCTTGACTGATGGCATGGAAAAGCTGATCATCTACCGCACTACTAACTCCATGAACCGTGAAAGCAGGGACGCCAAAAATGGTTCAGTCATGAAAGTCAAGAAATATCAACATTCCACCGGGGAAGAACATTCCTTTCCGTCACATGGTTTATCGAAGTCAACCTGTTTTGATGGGAACTCGCAATTT